CCCTCAACCCCCCCACACACCCTGCTCTGATCCTTCTGCTACCACCAGCAGACCTGGCCTCCCCCTTCCCCACCCTCACTCCCTCACTCCCAAGCACCAAGCCTCCCTCACTGTGCTGCTCTTCTCTACTGACCCTAACTCACCTTGAATGTTCATGTGCATCATGACCACGGGTTCCACGCTCTGGTGGGAAATCCGGATGACCCTCGGGTGGCTGGCAGTCGGGGGGGGGGCAGGCCCTGGGGGATGCGTCCCCTCAGTTGACTCGACAGTCGCAGAAGAGGGAGCCAGGGACGCGGCCTGCCCAGAACCAGGGGGAGATGCCTCTGCACTGGGAGTCGCGGGGGGCCGAGTCCCATTGCCAGTCATGGTCACAGTGGTCCCCACATTGATCTGTACAACACAGACAGGTGGGGCAGAAGTGAGAAAAACACAAAAGCCTAACCCAGAGCACCATCCCATGACATATTCTAAAGTCTCCGGTATCCTTTATCACTACGTGTTTCCAAAGCCTCCTCCCCTTCTAACCTCCTTCAAGCGCAATAGCTATCCTGGGTCATTCCACCAACAGCCCTCCATTACCCCTCAGGCCAGGCTCGCCCCGACCCACCTGGATGGGAATGGCTGCCTGCTGGAGCACCATGGGAGTGGTGTAGTGAGACATAGGCCGGACCACATGGAGGTGTCGTGGGGGTGCACAAGCCAGATTGCAGCGCAAGTCAGACAGCGCCACAAAGGTGTTGCCCAGCAGCCGCAGGCTTTCCCCCACCAGGTTGATCAAGCGCTGGTCCTCCTCTCGGCCCTCTTGCTATAGCCCCAGGCAAGACACAGAAAGGCAAAGGGCAAAAAAAAACACACAAAAGGCAGAAAACATCAGGCTGGAATCCACCTCGCTAACCAAAGTAACATCTTCTGAAAACATCACATTCTCTAAACCTTTAGGTATAACCTTGGAAGGGTCCACAGAGACCAAATCTTTGCAAAATTCTATTGCCTACATGTAGTTCCCTATTAAAACACACCCTACAGTAAACGAATGTCATCACCTACTCCCTTATTTTATTAACTTGCTAAATTAACTTGCTAATAATCTCCCTTATTTTATTAACTTGCTAAGTAACTCAGGGGACTGAGGGATACAAAGAGAGTGGGGACTGCAAAGATTACCCTGAAAAGAAATAAAAGATAGCTGCGAGTCTAGGGAGGAATCATCATCCTGCCGACAATGTCTTTTTCGGGGGAGAGATAGATGTGTATGTCAGCCTGTTCCATTTGGAGAGAACTGGGGTGAGGGGGTGGGCGGGCTCACATTGTTGTTGTAGTCTGTGCTAGCAGCGGCACCCAGAACCTCATAGTAGCGCTGCAAGAAGGGATGAAGGCGGCTCTCAAGCCGCTGGAGCTCCTGGAGCACCTCGACGTACTCCGCAGGGGAAGGATGACTGTGGGGAACACCAAGAGGCAGTGAGCCAAGGCTTTCCTCGGCTTCCCAACCTCACAGTTGACAGGGACCACATCTGCTGTCTCTCCCTGGCCTCCCAGAACCCTGGCCCAATCCCTGCCTGGACTAGCAGAGCCTGTTCTTTACCCCCACCCATGGGAAGATGGGAAAAGAAAGATAAACCGCTTCCACCCTCCCCACCGCACAACCCTGCACCTACAATGGCGAGATACTAACTCTAATAAAAGAGATGGAGCCTCTGTGAACTCAGGGGAGAGAATCTTGATCAGGGAGCAGCATTTGGTTTCCCTTGCCCCAGAGAGAGCAGTGCAGCTCAGCCACCCAGTCCCAACCTCCTTTACCTACTCCAGAGCCCCTCCATGACCCCAACATGAACCCTCCACATAAGACCTCCAAGCAACCCTTCCTTCCCCATCACCCCTCTCCTGGTCCTCATTCTCCACTCAGGATCCCAAACCCCCTCCCAAAGGTGCCCTCCATCTCTCACTTGGGTGCATTTGTCTCTGGGGCAGGTGTTGGACCCACTGGGGCTGGGCCAGAAGGGGTGAGCTCCGGGCTCTGAGCTGGGGCACGTTCCTCCACTTCTTCTGCCTCCATCGGCTCCCGAGGAGGCGCTTCACTTTCAACTGGATCTGATGTCTCAGAGCTCAAGGCTACTGGCTCCGGGGCCACAGTTGGTGTCTGTGCAGGTGGCTGATAGTGCTGTGCTTGGGGCCCCCCTCGACACTGAAGGTAGGGGAAAGTCAGGGTACCAAAGGCAGGATGAGACTGCTGCAGAGGACTGCTCAGGTCAAAGGAGACTGAGTGGACAAAGTACTCTGAAGGCAAGGCTTTGCATCTGTATCTTTGACTCCCTAGCAACCAGTATAAGACTTAGACAAATCAGATGCACAATAAACATGAAATTCTTACAGATGAATTACTAAAAAAAAGTAGGGATTATGGTTTCCTAAGCTCCACAAGAAAAGGAAAAGCTATAGAACACAGACATAGCACAAACTAATGAAATAAGGACACACCAGTATCAAATATCATACTCAAGAAATTAAAGGCCCTGCCCTGGTCAGTGTGGCTCAGTTGGCTGAGCGTCATCCCATGCACCCAGAAGTCACTGGTTGACTCCCAGTCAGGACACATGCCCAGGTTGCGGGCTCAGTCCCCAGTAGGGGATGTGCAGGAGGCAGCCAATCAATGGTTCTTTCTCATTGTTGTTTCTCTCTCTCCCTTCTTCTCTCTAAAATCAATAAAAATATGTTTTAAAAAAGAAAGGAAACTATTAAAGGCCCTGGCCAGGTAGCTCAGTTGGTTAGAGCATCCTCCCAATACGCCAAGGTTGCGGGTTCAATCCCCAGTCAGGGCACATACAAGAATCAATGAAAAGCCCTGACCGGTTTGGCTCAGTGGTTAGAGCATCAGCCTGTGGACAGAAGGGCCCCAGGTTTGATTCCGGCCAAGGGCACATACCTCAGTTGCAGGTTCAATCCCCGGCCCTGGTCGGGGCATGTGTGGGAAGCAACCAATTGATGTGTCTCTCTCACATCCATGTTTCTCTCTGTCTCTCCCTTCCATTTTCTCTGAAAAGCAACAGAAAAAATATCCTCAGGTGAGGATAAAAAAAAGAATCAACGAACGAATGCATAAATGAGTGGAACAACAAACCAGTGTTTCTCTCTCTCTCCCTTCCTCTCCAAAACCAATCAATAAAAGGTAAAGAAAAAGAAATTCCAAAGCATGAAATCCTTCTTTAATTAAAAAAAGATGCCATGAGAGTTATCTGACAAGTGTGAAACAAACTTCGCAGACACCAGCCACCAAGAGGATTGAAAGGGACAAGATAGTCTCATATAGATACTTTTTCTGCCCAAAGAATAAAGACTGCAGAGAAGAAACTAGATTAGAAAGGAAGCGGCCAGTCATGCCTTCACCCCCAAACTGAGACAAGGGGTAGGGAGGATGGAGAGAGAGTGACAGACCACTTACCTCCATCCTGGATAGTAAGGTCTGTATATCCCTGATCATGTGCTGAGCCATCACCAGCCGTACTCGGGGTTCACTCTACAATAAGAGAGGGAAGATCAGGGCAAATCTGAAATAAAGCCACAGGTTCCAGAGCCTACTGAACCAGGTCCCAGCATCTCCTCAGTCAAGTCCAATCCCACCTCATGGCCTCCTTCTCCCAGATCCCCTTCCCTGACCCTCCCAGGCCCCATGATACCTGAACTGGGGCCTGTTCCATGTTGATGTGAACATCCACAGCAGAGCCGTCACTCTGGGGAAAGGGTAAGGGAAGTTGCTCTGGGAGAAGCCAAATACTAAGGCCCCCACATTTCCAGTTCATTCTCTGGAGACCCACCCTTTTCTCAAGACTGAGGCCATTAGCAGACCACAGGCCCTCCAAACCCAATCTACATACTGAGCTCTCAGCTGCTACCACAACCAAAACTACCCTTCCCCACAAAAAACCACCCCATGTGGAACACAAGCTTACAGGAAGATTGAAGGTTCCAACCATGACATAGCTGTTGGCATTCCGGTCATGAACAGAGGCCCCAGGCCCCCGAGTACCAAGTGCAGGTCCCCCACCATGGGTGGCTGAGGCAGACCCTGTCCCAGAAGATGGCCCAGAAGGGAGCTGAGTCTGAGGAGGAGCGCGTTCCACCAAGTGGATAACCTTGCCCCCAACATCTGGAAGAAAAAAAAAAAAAAAAAAAAAGATGCACACCCAAACATTATACGATCAGGTAAACCCATGGTCTCAGCTCATCCCTCTGGACAGCTGCCTCGAACTCTGACCTGTCTCCCCCACCCCCTTACTGTATTCTTGGAGCTTCTTATCATCTTGCAGAACTCGTCCCTGATAGATGAGCCGTTGTTTCTCAGAGGGGATGCTGACAGAGGCAGCAATGTGCTCCTTAAATTCCTTCACATTCATCTGCAAAGAAGGGACACAAATAGGTATTAGGAAATGGAAGAGGAAGGACAGAGGAAAGACAACTGATTTGTGTGAGTGAGGGGTAAAAACGATCTCATCATGCCCTAGCCGGTTTGGCTCAGTGGTTAGAGCATCGGCCCGTGAACTGAAGAGTCCCAGGTTTGATTCTGGCCAAGGGCACATATCTCAGTCACAGGCTCAATCCCCAGCCATGGTCGGGGCATGTTCAGGAGGCAACAATTGATGTGTCTCTCTCACATCCATGTTTTTTTCTCTCTCTCTCTCCCTTCCACTCTCTCTGAAAAGCAATGGAAAAAATATCCTCGGGTAAGAATTAAAAAAGTAAAGATAAACATCTCATCATAAAATCACTATCCATTTGTCTTGATTGTGAGGTAATTATTGTGCAAAGCCCCAAACTAAGACAACTCCTGTCAAAATACTGATGACAAACATAACGAAGTTCAGTTCCAGGCCTAGGAGAAAATTACATGGCTGAGAAACAGAAAAGCCAACTGACGTTTTGTTAACTCCCCTGCCTGGCTCCCAAGGGAATGTGTGTCTAAAGATACTACTCCCTAAACACAAAATGATACAACTCTAGTCTCAAAGATAAAAGCAATGACAAGGAAGATGGGACGGACAATCAGGTTAAAGAAGAAAGCCTCAACCAAGAAGAGAGGGAGGAAGGATCAAAAAGAACATTTTTCCTAACTAGGTAACTCACTCTTGGAAAGATTCAGACTGTTTTCATACACCTAATCACAAAAGCCTATATGGTTTTCTGAAATACATGTAATGTCATGTTTTAAAAACCATGGACCAACCCCTCATGGTTTTGTCTCCCAGTATTACAGGAGTAATGACACAGATAGTTGTGCCCATGCTGTTAAGCTCAAGATTCAAATTATGCCACAAATACTGGTGACTCCACTCAACAGTCTATTAGGGCTCTACCTGCATTACAGGCTCTGATTTCTCACCTTTAAAAACACAGTATAGACCTGACCAATTTTTAAGACACACTTGCGTTTGGGGTCTGTGTGTTCTGTTTCCTTTCCCAAAAGCAGGAGCCATGTCTATCCATTTGAGCTGGGGTTCACTCATGATGATGGCATACAGATTCCTCCTTCCTCCATATTTCCCTCTGCACTGAGTTCTATTGAGGTGGAGGAAGGCAGAACAAAATCTAGCTCATTCAATAGAAACCATACCTTCTTACTCAACAAAGAACATGAAAAAATGTTCTGTCTAGAATATAAACAAAGAAATCAATGACAAAGAAATTGACCAGAAAATAGGTTGTTCTTTCAGGCTAAGGGCCTACAAGAGAAAAAGTTAATGGAGGTTTTCCAGAAGTACTGGGGTCTCACCTGGGCCCCCACAATAAAGGTCCGAGTCTGAGAGTCCAGGGTCTTCACCAGCACCTCCAGGCTGTCAGGCTCCTCCACAGTTGTACTGGTACTATTATTGGGCTCCATGGCCTACAGCTCTCTAAGGAAGAATGGAAGGAGAGAGGCCCACTGTCGCCCAGAGCAGATTTTATATACCCAGAAGCCTCCCGGGCCTGAGCCTCCGCCCCAATGCCTAGAGTTTCTCCCACACAAGCACACACACACCCGCCCCCATCCCCCTTCTGATTCCGGGGCACAGGGAAAGAAACGCGAAGGGCAGGAGACTGACGGCGAAGGAAGCTGGGGGACGGGAGGTAGGAGGGGCTCCACAATGCCAATCACAAGAGTGGGCCACTCCGGCTAGGTAGCAGGGAAGGAAGGAAGCACGATTCCAGTGTCACCACCAGTCGCGATAGAAGGGCCCCATGAACCCTGGGACAACGCGAGAAAGGGGGGGGTCGCATTACACTCCGCGGAGAAAGTGGTTTCGCGCACGCGCGCCACGCCCACTGAGCCCGCTTAACTCACGACAGACCCAAAATGAAGGACACTCACGGGGGGCCAGACCCGCTAGCTGACTGCCCCCCTCTTCTGCCTTCTTTCGGTGCTCCAGCAAAGCGTCGCAACCAACACACATCAAGTACACACAACCCGACGGCTCCACCCCCGACTTCCCCACGGTGCCGTCACTTCCGGTCACCTCCAACCTGCCACCTACGGCGACTTCCGTTTCCCCGATAATATTTGGAGATCGCGAGGCGGAACTTCCGGCTCCCCCCAGGTCCCCAAGCTTCACTTTCGTGGGGCACGACAAGAAAGTCCACGGCCCCAAACAGTGAGCTCCTGAGGGCGAGATGGGCCGGGGTCGGCCTAGATGGGAGGGAGCCGAGTACCCCGAGGAGCCGCCGCCGTCGCCCAGGGGACCGAACTGCGTCTGCGTGCGTCGTATTACGCATGCGTACACATTTAGGCACCGCCCCACCCTCGCTGGTGCTCTTCGTTTCTTCCTTGCGCGCGCGAGAGCAATAGGACAGTGAGGCGTCCACTCTAAATGCCTGAAAAAAATTACCAGATGACACTCCATGACGGCCTCAAGAAACTTTGGACGGTTATATGGATCTTGGAGTTTGGGGACTGGGGATGCGCCTGGTTAATCTATGTTCAAGTCGTGAGAGACTTTGAGGCGGCACTGTCCTGGCCACCTAAAATTTTGTCTTCCTCTCACTCTGGCCCTCGCCGCGCCACCCCTCCGGCGACTCCGGAAGTCGCCCTTTGCTTAGGCGGTTGGGGCCGGTTCGCGAGCTGTCGGGCGTGTGGTGGTGTCGTTGGGCCAAATTTCGGTTTTGTCCGGTGGGCCTTTTGCGGAGTGTGGGCGCCATGTTCCTCACTGGCGGTGAGCGGTCGAGAGGACACGCCAAATTTTTGAGAAGCTAGAGGATTTACTATCTTTCACGACTTTTGTCCAAAAAAAGGCGCCTCCGAGTCTGGGAATTGAGAGCAAATGAAGGCCAACCCGACCGAAACACAGGACTGACCGTGGGGAATTGAAGGGACCGCCATAGCCATAGGGCTTCTGCAGGCCGAGGTCCAGAAGCCTCTGCTGCGTTCACCCCCGCCCTCGGCCCCTCTCCGCTCCCAGGCCTCTAGCCATACCTGCCGCTGCTCCGGTGCCCAGCCTTTCTGGGATTCTTTGTTTATACCCAGGTCCGAGTACTGTTTCAGCTAAGAGTTCTGATACGCACCTGTTGAGTGAGCCCTTAGTTCGTGCCAGTCAATTTTGTCAGGGTTCTACGTACTGTCATGTTTAAAAGCCTTTCAACATCTGAGATAGTTGCTACATGCACTTTATATAGTGATTACACCCGGCGAACTGACAAATCCAGGCCTACCAGGCTCCTCTGAGTCACGCATTTATACTTTACTGCCTCAGTACCTTTTTTAGTGTTTTATTACAAAAAGTGTCAAACAATACCCCAAAGTAGAATAGTATAATGAACCCTCGTATACCCTAAGTCTTAAGCCTCACCTCTCTGGACAGTTTTTTGGTTTTTTTTTGCAGTCTGTGAGTTACATACGGTTAAGAAAGCCCCACCTTTCCCCAGGCTGGCGTGGCTCAGCAGTTGAGCATCAACTTATGATCCAGGAAACTGCAGTTCAATTCCTGGAAAAGGCACATGCCCCATTCAGGCTCGGATCCCCATTAGGGGGCGTGCAGGAGGCAGCTGAATAATGACTCTCATCATTGATGTTTCTCTCTCCCTCCCTTCCTCTGAAATCAGTAAAGACACACTTAAAAAACACACACCAACTTTCATTTTACTCCAGCCAGGTAGCACTATCCAATGACTGCCTCTTGACAATTCTTGCCTTACCTCCTATTATTTAAGAATGTATTACGCACTGGAAACTAATAATCGCTAAACAAGCATTATTAATTTCAGTGAGTATTTACTTTGGACTTGCCATGTATAGGCCTTTGCAAAGGACTTTATATGCATTATCTCTTAAACCTATGAGATTGATGATTTTCTCATTTTATAGATGAAAAAACAGGCATAGAGGTCATTTTATTAATAAGTGGAGTTTGAACCCACTCCGCCAACACCAGTGTCTGTCCTCTTTAACTACTAGATTATGTAGTCTCTTACTCATAGTAATAAACTTTGAGAGAATGAGCTGTGTGTGTGTCAGTGAGCTTTTCTGGATGATGTACATATTGTTTCCCTAATTATAAACAGAAAAAGCCACTCATCAGCCATTCCCCACTACCTGGTTCATACCTGTCTTACAGCACTTAGCAAGTTGCATTGCAATGATTTGTTTATACAGCTAATTTTCCTTTGACTTCTTCAAGGCCAGGGGCTGTGTCTTATTTTTATGTCCCCAGGGCTTAGCCAATTCCTGGCAAACAGCTGGGACTCAAAACAGTTTGCTAAGTGAATGAATGAATCAATCTACTTCTCTTCAATGCTGCACAACACAGATATCCAGCTCAGACCACCGGCTCTACCTGGAGGGCTCAGCTCTCCTGGTAAATCCCAAAAAACCCTGGACATGCCAGGATGTATTGTGAGTGGCTGCATCTAGAACAGAGGGGGGTTGGGGAGGGCCAAACACTGTAAGTAATCCATGTTTGGAAAACAAGGCAGAAGTTACTCATTAGCAGGTGAAAGGGTCAAAGGTCAAGGCAAGGGGGCTGGAAGCAGAGTGGATTGAGCAGACAGTGGGGGGAGAGAATAGTTAAGACACCAGCCACTCCACGAAGAGTACCAGCTCCCCGTTGCCTGAAGATGTTTCACCAAATTTGGGGAGTTCTGCTTTACCTCTACGGCATTCTCCTTAATTCCATCTACCAGTGCCCTGAGCACAGTCAACTGACAACTCAAGGAGTGGATGGTAAAGAGGTATGGACTGAGAATGGGGGAAGCTTACAGGGGGGGCTCTGAGGAACTTGAGTGGGTGGCCTAGAATGACCAGAAGCCACATTGTGAAGGGAAGGAAGAGGATGTGAATATTGTGATGATAGAAGCAAGGACAGTAAAAAAGTATTGGTGCTGTGGCCATCAAGGTGGAGACATGGTAGAACTTGGGGAGGTGGGGGCGTTACTCAGGCTATCGAGGCAGGCAAAGAGGAAAAGTCATTTAATGACTCCCTGTCATTGGATCTAAGCCCCAGTTGGAAAAAGGCAGCCAGTACCTCCACCCCTAAGTCTTGCTGTCCTGACAAAGAGGTTGGATGGATCCTATAGTGGGACCCACCCTCTTCTGCTCCCCTTGTTGTCTTTCCAGTTCCCAGAGCCCCACTTGGGCCAGTGGTATTTTATCGCAGGGGCAGCTTCCACCAAGGAGGAGTTGGCAACTTTTGACCCTGTGGACAATATTGTCTTCAACATGGCTGCGGGCTCTGCCCCCATGCAGCTCCAGCTTCGTGCTACCATCCGCACGTGAGTGGTGAGGAGGCAGAGATACCAATAGTCTCTGCCCAAAATGTGAGCACCTTCCCTCAGAGTTGTGTTCTTTGGCTTATCCACTGTTCTTGGCCCACTGAGTTCAATGGCTCTATTAGTTTTCCTCTAGAGAGAGATGGGCCTAACCATCCCTTGGTAGTTTGAAATCCAAGGTGACCCTGGCTTCAAGAAGGAATAAAAGAGAATAAAGGTTGGTACTGTGTGGTTGGGGTGTCACTCAGTCTTTCCTCCTTGCCACCATCACCTCTGCAGGAAAACTGGGTCCTGTGTGCCCCGGGAATGGATCTACCACCTGACAGAGGGGAGCACAGATCTCAGAACTGAAGGTTGGTTCTCTCCAGCACTTCCTCTCCCCAAGTCCCCTGGCTTGCTTGGTTTTGCATCTCTGTCCTCACACTTCCCCTCAACCCATCCTGACAGGTCGCCCCGACATGAAGACCAAGCTCTTCTCCAGTTCATGCCCAGGTGGAATTATGCTGAAGGAGACAGGCCAGGGCTACCAGCGCTTCCTCCTCTACAGTGAGTGAGGAGTCGAGGCAGGATGGGTTGGAAGGAAACACAGGAGGGGTAGGAGAGCCCCTCACTCTGGGCCCCATGAACCATTCCAGGAAGGGCTGGGTTCTTTCAGGAGATCCTCACCAGGGGCATTGCTAAGTAGAGGCTTTGATGAGCCTGGCCCTGCTGTGCCCTTCCAGATCGCTCACCACACCCTCCCAAGAAGTGTGTGGAGGAATTCCAGTCCCTGACCTCCTGCCTGGACTCCAAGGCCTTCTTACTGATTCCCAGGAAACAAGGTAAGGGGGTAAAGTCCCACAGAAGAGAACTAGGACTCATCAAGTCTCCTGCAGGTGCTGAATGAAAGGGACTCAAGTGATGTCACCAGAGGGCAGGACCAAAAGCTGACATTGTCAGAGTGGCTGTGTTCACACCTCCATTTGTGTTACAGGTTGTGATGGCGCCAGAGGGAGCCAGGATGGGCTGTGGGCTAATAGAGAGGTTTCCGAGTTTGCAGTGGATAAAGGGGCAGAGTCAGATGCGGAGGGAAATAGGCCTCAGAGACCCCTTTTTTGACATGGGAAGAATGAGGGAATGCATTATTAGCAACCTTGCTTCGCTCCCTGGATTTCCTTCCTTTCCACCCTCTTCTTTTCTCCCTCCTCCCACCAGAGACCTGCAAGCCATCCAGTAACTGACCTGTGGCTTCATCTGTGCCCCCAGACGTATTTGGTGGGAGCTAAGATTGTGGTGGGGGAGAAGAGAAGCGCGAGACGCCCTTTCAAGAGTAATAAAGATGATTTTTCAATTATCATCTCATGTTGGGGTTTGTCTCCAGACACCAATCCCACTCCCATTTCAAAACTCCCCCTGAATCTTCTACCATTTTAACCCCTAGCTGGACGGCATCAGGAAGGACACTGAGTGGCAGTAACTCAATTTTTGTAGTGGTATATTTAGGATTTGATGTGACACAGTGATTTATTGCTGAGTGAGCAACCCCTAACTCCTGCACGGGGACTGCAAGCTCCAGTGCTTCCCCACACTGCCAGTCCGGGCTGCCAGCCCCTGAGACAGCCCTCCTGCCAATACCACCTGCCCCATCCCCACTCCTTCTGGCTCCTAGGAACACCCACATCGTCCCTGCAGGCTCTCTGTTACTTGTGTGCCCCATCTGGACCCCAAATCCACCCACCTAGCAGCCCTTTGCTACCCTAGATGTCCTAAGATCCAAGGGACCCCTTGGGTCTCCCAAGCACCCTCTTACCCAGCCAGAGTTGTCTGTCCCTGGGGAGTCGTGAAAGGTAGAGAGGACCCTTTGGTCTTTATTCTCCTCCACTACTTTTGTTTTGCTTTTGCTTTTAAAAAGTGAAGGTGGGGGGAAAAACTGAAGGTGGGAGAAATGTAAAATCAAAAAGTAATAACAGCTGGTGAATTCAAGGGCTATGCCCCCACTATCCACAAACCCAGACACCCTGAGCAGCTAGCTGTTCTCTCCTGTGGGTGTGGGGGGGATGGTGCCCTCATACTCTGGGGTTTCTTCCCCATCCCTGAGGTCCCTGTGCTTACAATCTGGCCATGCCCCCTTCTCTCCTTTTAAAGGCCATACTGTCTTCACCCTTCCTCCCACCCCACTAATGGGGGAGGGGCTGGGTCACGCCCACTTTTGAGGTCACCGCCTCTTTCCTGATTCTCCCCTCTGCTCCTCACCCTCCCTCTCCAGCTTATCACCCTGCAAATCAGTGGCCTCCTCATCCCCAGTGGGCGCCCGGAGACTGACAACCAGCACGAGGGCCTGTAGGAGACCAAAGAGGCAGGCAAAGTGCAGGGGGTGAGCAGTAAGCAGGCTCAGCACAGCATGGAGCCCATGCAAGGCAGCCAGGAAGGACAGCAGCCCATGCAGCCAGAGGCCCAGCGGCCCACTCAGGCCCAACGTGTCCAAGGCTGCCCGCAGTGGCCGTGAACACAGCCCCAGCAGGGCTGATGCCAGCAGCTCCAGCAAGTGCAGGGTCAGGTTGGTGGAGATCTGCAGACACTCCTCTCGGCCCCCCAGGTACTTCGAGGGAGCCCCTACTCCCCCGCCTGGTTCCCCCTGCAGCCAGCCCAGCAGCTTCTGACCCCGGCCAGGCTTCTCCACTGGCGCTTCAGGCCCAGGGGGACTCAGTCCCCCTTCAGGAGACACTCCAGATCTCCTGGAGTCCACAGGATCCCATCCCATTTTGGGAATGGCCTCTGCAGCCTGCAGTATTCCTGACTCTTGAGTGCTGGTGCCAGTCTTACCCCCCTTGAGGGAATCCATTCTTTTGCTCCCCAGTTGCTCAACTTGGGGCTCCCAGCTTGGTTGTGGAGCAGTCCCAGAACTCCTGCGGGCTCCTGAGTCCTTCCTCTGGGGTGGCCCCCCATCTCCCATGGTCTCTGGGGCACTGTCCCAGTCGCTCCCTGAATTCTCAGAGGAGCTGTCCACCCGTCGGGGTTCTGGGGTGGGCATGTCAGGCCTGGGTTTCCGGGGACTCCAAGGGCGAGGTAGCCAGCCAGCAAGCCGTCGCAGGAACATGGTTGGAGTGCGTAATGAGCCCCCAAATTCTGAGGCCGCTTCCTGGCACTGCTCAGGTGAAGCTGAGGGTCTCCTCAGAAGCCAGAGTCTGTTCAGGCACAGAAGAGCAGGTACCCGCTTGGTGAGTCCTCTGAATTCAGACGTACATCCAAATTCATTCACACACACACACACATTCACACACACACACACACACACACACACACAAGATTCCAAGTCTCAGGATCTGACAAGGTCTGAGTCACCCCGACAGTGTCCTGCGTTTCCGGGTTTCCTTCCCAGCAAGCAGCACACCAAGTTTCACTCACCAAGACCACGCCCCAAGGTGCCCCCAAAACTGGAGAGGCGGTGCTCCGTCCAAGAAGGAAGGTCGCCCGGGCGGTGCTCCCGATGTAGGGTCCTGAACCGCTGGTTTAAGGGAGATGAGTACGAAGTCTCCTACTGGAGGGTGGGGAAGGTGCCCAGCGGACGCCAGCCCGCGGGTTCATCCCTTGAATTAGGGTTGAGTCCTACTGAGCGCCGGATGGGCCCCAGGCGCGCAGCTGAGACGCGGCCTCAGAAAGGTCGGGCCAAAGACGTCCTCGGAGATCCCGTCGCGAGGCAAAGAGCGGACCTGTCTGGGTCCCCAGGCGTCCGGGAGCCGTGGGCTGCGGGCCCTCCAGGGCCCGGCGTCGGGGCCGCGGCCTCACGGAGCCGCCGGAGCCGCCGAGCCCAGCAGCAGCT